CGTCAGTGTGTCGAATTTCACGAAATGACAGAAAAGAAGAAAACGGACTCAACGAGTAATGAGATGAGGATCGTTGCAAAGGAGATTCTCCTCAAAATAAAAATCACCAGAAAGTCCCAGTCGAGGAAGCACTTTCGACAGCAGATAGAAACCAAATTTCTCAAATTTATCTTTAAATGAAGGGAATCAAAGAATTCCCTACTCTTCCCCAAGGCTCTGCTAACTCCCACTACAATCCAGAGCGATGTCGCATAGTAACTCAGAGCGACGAAAATGTGCTCAGTACTCCTTGCACTTATGCCTTATCCCGTCCTCACGCGAATCAGGTCACAAACTCTTTGGTGACCCGGAACCGCTTCGATAAAGATCATGTATTGAACGAAGAGATTTGATTGTCGATTGAGAATCGTATTTTTCTTCCTCCTTCACTTGAACAAACGTAGTTTATACAAAGTCGGCATCACTACCAGACTGCATAAGAACCATAATAAATATTATGTGGGGAGAGCAATAATATATATGTGAATGTTATAAGACATGATTTAAAAAGTTCCACGTTTATGTGATAAAGTACTTCCCATACATACTTTATCTTCGTGCCAGTTTAAGAACTGTTTTACGTAGTATTATTCCAATCGCGCAAGCTTTCTCGTTTTTCCTTGATGCCTGAAACAGATAATAACGAATCCCTTATCGTTCCATTGGCCCACGTTGGCACATCTCGCACTGCTGAGTAAAAAGAAAAGGAATTCCATTAGTGAAAATTAATCCCCCTGGTTGCGTGAAATGTGCCTCATAGAAAGACACTGTGGACATGACTCTGCGGTGGTGGTTGACAAGTTTCGATCGTTTCGCCAAGCTAAGTCGCGGACTTCATCGCATGGCAATGCACCAAGAAAATCCGCAGTGCTTTGTTTCAGTCTGAAAACGAGGAGGCCGTAGTGATTGTATTTGATCCCCAACACGATCGTGACAGCAAGGACAGACGTAACGAAACGTAATTGGAAACGTAACGATTCCGAGGAAGTTGCGCGAATAGTGCGTTTCATGATGGACAAATTCAGGATTTCCTGACTTAGTGATGATGTAACGATCCCGATAGCTTCCATTTTTATTACTCGTGCCGAAGATGACTTATGGACAATATCCTGGTATTTCCTCCTAGGCACAGAATGTGAGATCGAATAGTCTTACCGCTATGTATTTTCGGATACCTCAATCATGTCGTCGCAATTTCTCGTGTGCGCAGACGGAAAACTGGGGATAATATGAACTGTGCGCATATGGGCTACGTGCCTCACCCAGATGAAAGTCTTGGTGTGCGCAATCGGATGCATGGAGCTCGGAGGACGGAGTGCGCATATGGGCACTGCCCGCTTAACCGTCCGTTAAATTTAAAGGAGGTTTGCGCATTCGAAGAAAAAGGATCTTGCAGTTAGAGTCAGATTGTGCATTCGAAAAAGGACTCTTCAGCTTAAACTTCGCTTAAGTTGACAGATGTTCAATGTAAGGATAGGTTGCGCGTTCTAAGGTGAGTGCTTTCCTCCTTCAAGTCCATTATATCGCCTGGAGGTGGTTTCAGCCTCACTCTCCATTTTGGCCTCACTCTCCGCAACCTCTCAAAAAATTTTAATGTCAAAAGCGAAAATAGCATGACATACCCTCCTCTGGCGCATTCCGTACGTATATCTAGGAATACCTTAACGTATGCTAACCAGCTCACTTCCTCCAACCCTAAGGTCCGAATGTTTAAATCTTCTTTAAGCGCTTTAAAAGGGCTTTTAGGCTAAAGAGCTCCTCTCTTCCATTGTAGTCCATAGGTTTATAAGGGACCGCTAACTAAAAGAAGTTTCACCATTCGGGTAGAAGAATGTCACATCTTTTAACGCTTGTAATCCCGAGACCCCCATCTTCCCATACATAACCCTGAATCGCAAAAAAAATACTGCGGTTACGTATGCACGTATAATTTTCTACACGCTTAGAAGCATACGTTGAATGTAATCACTGAAATTTCAAGCAAAAGTAATAAAACTTACAGGTTTTAATGCGAAGGTTCAAAGTCACCTGACACGAGGGATCATTATACAGTATACAAGTTGGCTGGGGCTCCAGTATAAAATTCCAAGTTTTCCCCAAAAGGTTTCGAGTCTGGCAGCTGAGGGAAAAGAGATTTTCAATGAAGGCAACGAAAACAACCCATAGAGGTACTTTAAGTCCCATACGAATGAGACGATAAACATGGTGATGCTATGTGAGACGTGAGTTAATCGAAGCGGGAGATAAGAAGGATGAAGGAAAGACGGGAAGGGGATGAGAAATAGAAGCTTCTCACTTATGCATGGCTCGTGTCTTCCGTTTGAGCTCCCTTTTGACGGCATGGAACTCGATTACTCGTTCCTTCTCTCATCTGATGAGATCAACGCCTCATCTTCAGTCTCTGTCATCTATCTCCTTCCCTTGAAAGACGGGAAAAATCTCGGAGTGAGAGAGAAGACACAAAGCCCCAAGCTGTATTGGCCTCGAAAAAGTTCCGACATCGCTATTGGAAGGCCATTTCGCCGTCCAAGACGAGAGCACTTTTAGGAACGATCGCGAGCAAGCTTAAATTCTGACTCTTAAAGAACGCCACAATGTAATTTCTCAGTGAAGAAGCGGGTTTGCTCGAGGTGGGGATTCCAATTTAGCTTTTAGCATAATCCAATATGCATAATACTGCACGAAATGCCCAACTGGTTCCACCAAACTGATCCATGAAACACTTTGTTTACTTGCTCTGCCAAGATTTAAAATTCATGAGAGCCGTGGGATATTAATGGGTTCTGTTTGATTATTTCTGGTCCACAGGAATATAATAGAAATTTTCCACAATTCTGAACCTGTCAACAATCCTCTGAGTTGAAAATTGAAACCTAAAAAAATAATGCATTCTTTTCGAATGAAAAGTTTCAGAAGGAAACTCCTTACGATGGAAATTTCCTCCTTGGAAAATAAATATTAGTCAAACATCAGCTAGGCATCAACGTCGCCCCAAAAATCCGCTTCTATAGCACAGAAAATGTACGTAGAAATAAAAGTTTTGGCGGATATTTTACAGTCTATATTTGTTGCCTATATGGCAACAGCTGAGAGCGGCTTGCTATTTCCCCCGTGTTTCTGCAGTTCCCAAGATGTGCAAACTGTCTCGTGACAAATATGAAGATGCTGTGCACGAAAGGAGGGAATATTTGCATGAATGTCAAGGAAATCTATTATTATCGTTTCATAAGTCTTTCAATTCAGCTAGGATGAGCTGGTCAAGGAAGTTGGGAAACGTCGCATATGGATCTGTTAACAGTATCCTTTCTCTCTCGCAAGATTTCTTTTCTCCGGCGAACCACGATGACATTCTCGAAATGCGACTTCTGTAGAAGACTAGATTATGTAACTGGGTTGTCTACAAAGAAATTTGAAAATAAAGTATCCCACGAAATCAATTTCTCGAAAAACGTTGGCTGATGCTACGCTTTCAATTGATTCCCGAGAAAAGAAAATAGTTTGACTATATTGGGTCTCATCGAAATTCATTGATGCGATTAGGTCCACATTCTTCCCCTCCCAATTGGAAAAATTACCATTCAACAGACATATGAAAATGGGGAAATTTAACTAATGCTAGATGCCTCCTGACGCATTATTAATCAGATTCCTGGAAACGAATTACCAATGAATTACCGAAGGGAATGAGGGGAAATGCAGGAAAAGGATGAAATGAGGTCCCATTCACAGAAATGGTGTCTCATAGGGAGGGTTTGGAGTGACGTCATCCATAAATGACCTAGATCCCAATTTCAGCGCTTTCTTACGCATGAAAGAACTCAACGAAAGATTTTCCTGTATGAGCAACATGAGTGCAAGAATTCGACGAGTGGAGTCACCAAGTCTCAATCACATTGCCCATCTCGTGTAACTTTTTTTTTTCCAAGAATCGAAGTCTTAGCGAGCTGGCTGGCGATACTTCACGGGGAAAAAGGGAGTTCTTGGCAGTGGAATGTGCAGTATAGGAATCAATGTCGACGACGTAGTTCTCTTTTATTCCGGTGTGTACACACCTAGGGGCAAGAAGACGGTGTCCACAGAGCGTATGTCGTGTTTCACCATGCGTGCAGAGCGAAAGTGTTTCTTGAAGGAAATTGTTTTTCTGGAGGTGCCTCATCCTCTTCATCATCCCGAGCAATTCACGTCCACGGTCCAGATACGTAGAATAAGCGATAGGCTGAAGCGGGAATAGAGGGACGCGATAGTGTGGATTAAAGAGGAAAAAAAGGAGGGGGAAAAAGAAGATGGACAAAGAATCGGGTAAATGATACTGCTGGCTCGAGTAAAAAAAAAAACAGAGGGAAAAAGGAAGTGAGAGATGGCCGAAGGCTGTTTCTTTTTTTGGCTCGTGATCAGTGAGGGGAGGGGAGGGGAGGGGAGGGGAAATAAGGCCTTCTGGCCATGTCTCAGCTCAATCACATTCACATTATCGATTTCTGGATATAATGACACAGAGCCCGACGTCGATGGAGCTACAGGATCTGATGGAGATGAAGGCATGATCCGGGCAAGGGGCTAGTCACCATGTACGGACTACTATTAGAGAATTTGGCAGATTTCATAAAAAATAAATATGGAGAGGATAAATGGGAGGAAATCAGGAGAGAGGCCCAGATCAATCAACCTTCCTTCTCCATCCATCAAGTCTATCCGGAGAACTTCGTGCCTCGTCTTGCCCGAACTGCTTGCAAGGTCTGTCTGGCTCGAGTCTTTCATTTCATGTCATTCCTTGTTTTTCCCTTGATGTTCACCATAGAGGTGCTCGGGGAATACACGTGGACCCGCTTTTCCAGGAAATTGCAACTTACACAATGAAGGGCATTACAGAAAGATTCATTTGACATATTTCCAGATTTATAAATGGGCATGTCTGTTTGCAAGTTTCTATGCTCATAGATTCATGATGAATTCGTTCCTCTTGTATGGAAAAGGCACTTGGGAAGTCCGAAAAGGATTTCTTCAACGAAATGGGGAAGACATTCGTGGAATTCGTCGGACAGTATGGCTACGATCGAGTCTTATCCGTCCTCGGGAGACACATGAGAGACTTCCTTAATGGTTGCTCTTTTCTCTCTTCTCTCCTATTCGTAAATTCCCCCTTTTCTGGCCAGGATAGATGAAAAAAAATGTCTCGCCGAATCGTTCAGGTCTGGACAATTTGCACGAGTACTTGAAGTTTTCATATCCCCGAATGAGAGCCCCATCGTTTTTCATCGAGAACGAGACAAGCAAAGGCCTGACCCTTCATTATCGGAGCAAACGAAGGGGTTTCGTCTATTATACCATGGGCCTTATCACGACGGTGAGCCCCGAGAGCTATTTTCATCTCGTGCCAGAAGCTGGAAAGTTCCTCCATTTTCCTTCTTTTCTGGTAGGTCGGGGAACACTTTTACAACACTCAGGTGCAAATCGAAGTCGTCAAGGAAGAGGTCCTCTATGACACCGTGCACGTCACATTTCAATTGGCGTTTCATAACCGGGGATTCGGAGAAGACGTGAATTTGCCCTCGAGTCGAGAGGAGAAGCTCCTTCCCATCCACGCTCATGTCTTCCTGGAAATTTTCCCCTTCTGCATCGTTTTCGGGTCCGCAAGAGGCCCCCGTTCAATATCCCTCATCTTGGAGGGGCATGCTTCGAATAATGGCCGAACCGTTCATGGGATCTCATTTTCCTGCACAGGCATGATATGGTGATCAAAAACTTGGGCCGGAGTCTTTTCACCATCTGCCCGCATTTCATCAGCAAGAAGATCCACGAACATTTCGACCTCGTTCGACCTTTGGTCGAGTTCAAATACGTCACGGTGAGTTAAAAACCACGGTCATTCTTCCGAGGATCGAATCTTCTTTTTCTCAACTTAATGATGTCTTGATAGGAAATAGATGGACTTAGATTGATAGAAAAGGTCAATATATTGATATTTTGATAGATGATACGGGGCTGGTCTTTCCAACTGGTATCTCTGAAAGAGAGATTGATGGGGAGAAAAAAGATACGATTGTCAGAAGTATGGCGTAGAGGAGGAGAGGGATGGGTAGAGAAAATTAGTGGAGCCATATTATTATTTAATTTCATGGGAAGGATGTATTCCTGATGAGTAAGTTCCAATTTGGGAAATGGTTTAATCTGCTACTTTCCTCTGGGATGCTTCTGGGCTGCATAATGGAATTTGAATCCGAGAAACGACGCCTCCCGGCGGAAAGTGAGATGGGTCCTAAATTAGGTAGAAAGTCGTGAAAAAAAAAACTTCGTATTAGCCTTGGCTTCGCCAAAGAAGGAGTGATTGGATTGGAAATTGAGTTGCATGGTGCAGACAGGATAAAGGAGGAAAAAGATGAAAGAGATGGGCTCATTTCTGTGTTTTCAAGTTCGTGTGGGGGGGAAGTAATTAGGCGGGAAAAGATGTCGTGAGTTGGGTGGAGTTGGGAGGTGACAGTGATTGGAGAGAAGGCTAGTGACAGGAAAAAAAGAAGGATCTGCTGGGCATTGTGCGAATGACGGATCGATAACACACGAGGGAGAGAGGGGCTGCGGAAAGGGCGAGAACCCAGCCCCCTTCCTCGAGAATGCATTGCCTGCATAAATCCCTGCCTTCTTTCAAGATAATGAACCGGAGGAATAACATCTTCGAGCTGGTGACGACGGAGCCCGTACTTGGAGCAAACGCGGAGGGTTCCAACTCGAAGGAAAGACTTAGGAGCCTGGAGGACATGAGCGGGGAATACGAGAAGGACGAAGAGGCTAGCCTTCACCTAAAAGGTCTCGCTCCCGTGTATCGCTACTGGCAAATGACCTGTGGAAAAGAAAAGTCTTTTCCATCTCTCTTAATCGGTGTTTCATGCCATCGTGAATATAGGTCAAATGCTTTTCATGGAGGAATGGCGGATGATTTTGTACCTGGGTACACCGGTCATGCCGGATTTGGACAGCATGATCGCGACAGGTCTTTTCATCAACGATCTCTCCATGCACGACTTTAGCAGGTGAATAGGTGAATGTGCATAATAGTGAAAAAAAAAGTACAAGAAATGGCGCACCCAAGAGTTTTCATCCCCAATCAATCAGTTTTATTGTTTTCCGAGCTGGACATCGAAAACAACCGGCGCAGTCAGGCGGTGAAAATCCTGGGTGCGCCATAGAGTGCAGGCCTTCCCCAATATCGGAGGAGCATGTTAGGGAAAGCCCAGATTTAGGCTACTGCCGGAGATGGACGACGAGAAGTAGTCCCTTATTCCTTTGGATGGATAATCGGATTTCTCAATCTCCTTTTCCTCCCCCCCTTTCTCAAGGGACCTCATGCTGGCGGGTACCCAGCAGAGTGTGGAATTGAAGTTGGCCTTGGATCAAGAGCAACAAAAGAGCAAGAAGTTGGAGGAGAGCATGAGAAAGCTGGACGAAGAGATGAAGAGGACAGACGAGCTCTTGTATCAGATGATCCCGAAAATGGTAGCAGATCGCCTTCGGAAGGGAGAGAATCCCGTCGACACCTGCCAGGTCTCACTCTCGTTTATTTCCTGGACTCTTCTCAAAAGATGGAGTGATTCCCTTTCCCTGTCACGGAATGCATGGGTTTCAAGTCTCCTTTTTCCTCCCCTATCTTCATTCCAGGTATTTGAATCCGTGACGATCCTGTTCAGTGACGTGGTGAGCTTCACATCTATCTGCTCTCGGATCACTCCCCTGGAGGTGGTGTCCATGTTGAACTCCATGTATTCCCTCTTCGACAAGCTCACCGAGCTCAATGACGTCTATAAGGTGACAATACCTGCCACGATATGAGATTCATTCGATCAGAGAGATCGCGTGCATGTCATCTCTTTCATTTCCCCTTCTCTCCCTATTATAATCAATCTCTTCCCCCCTTCTTATTTCCCCTTCCCCCCGGTCCCGGTGAAATGATGATGACGGGAATGAATGGGGAAAAAAAAAAACCAGGTGGAGACAATCGGAGACGCATATATGGTGGTGTCGGGTGCTCCGGAGGTGAGAAGCAACCATGCAGAGAAAGTCTGCAATATGGCCTTGGATATGGTGGATACGATCGTGGGTCTCAAGGACCCGTCGACAGGGGCTCATCTCCAGATCCGAGTGGGGATTCATTCAGGGAATTGTGTGGCCGGCGTTGTGGGCCTCAAGATGCCCAGATATTGCCTCTTTGGCGACACCGTAAATACTGGTCCGTCCACTTTCTCAACTCTTTTTTATTATCTATCCCACATGCAAGCCATCCCATCGATCCCTCTTATTCCATGCAGCTTCTCGGATGGAGAGCAACAGCGAGGAGATGAAGATCCACGTATCACAGACGACGATCGAACTCCTCCCGCCTGTATTCAAGTATGACGGGAGAGGAGAGATCCAAGTGAAAGGCAAAGGTTTTTCATCTCCTATACCTCTCACAGCTCTTATCACCATAACAGAATATTACCATATCCTCTTCCATTCTGGGTCCAAAAATTTGGACATTTGCATTTTAATGTAACTTATCAGTCCATATCTATTAATTGAAGTGGAAAATTTAGCATTCATTAAAGAAAACTTTCTAAGGAAAGCAGGCGAATCACATGGGGAATGAATTCGATGTGATGCTGCCGGTATTAAAAAAAAAATTGTAGCAAGAAATTTCTCGGGATTCTGGAGGCTGTAAAGCAGCCAAGGCCAAGTGAGAGGAGAGAAGGGCCTGACTCTTAGGCAGACAGATGGACTCGTGAGATGTGTGAGCGCTGGCTCTTGCAGGCTGCGCTTTAGTCTCCTGTCAACTGCCATACGAGCTCCACTTTTATGTTATCGTCATCTCGTGGATTCAAGCTCCAAATCGGATTTCAAAGAAATGACATCTCAAAGTCACCTCGTCAGACTAGTCATGGAATGGGTCGATATTTGACCATGAGAGCTATATGGGAAATTGAACCCTGTGTCAGCGTTTTCCGCAAAGCCTGAATTCAACTGGTCTTCACCGAGATAGACCTATCTCGGTGAAGAGATTCTCGCTTACCGCCAACTCTTTCCTTCCCCATATGCTTATAATAGGTGATCCCCGTTATAGCGCCACTCTCATTAGCAGCCATCCGCCATCATTTGTACTAACATCCTTTTTCCCGCATAAATCCTCCATTTTGCGCCAAGTGGCATATGCGCCCCAACCTTCTCCAGAACTAAACGCAGCTTAATGTTACTTAGTGCGTGAGAGTTGACTCACTTCCGTGGAATGGATAGCGCATGGGACTTGTATAGAGAATCTGGGGGACTAAGGATAAACTACACATTCATTTAGAGTATTTGATCCTCGGAGATTTCAGTATCATGGTTAATGGGTTCATTCGATGCAGCGTCACTCGCGTTTTAGTGCCAAAATCGGCGACGACCAACCGTGGTGTTATATCGAGGGTTGACTGTACTCGTACTGGAGTGAACAAAAATGAACATAAAGAAAGCTAGTTTCACTCATTTTCAAAAGTCAGCAGAACTCAAGGTGCTTCCACGCGAGTGTCACCAATTAGAATGCACATCTCTGTACTGCAGGTTCAACAGGATTCTTATCAGCGTCTAATGACTTTGCAGCAGGAATTTAGAAAACATTTTCTGGGCCATGCTGATCCTACCCATCGCACCATGTATACCATTCACGAATGGAAACAGAAAGCGTCTTAGATAAATCAAGGCCTGGTCGCTTTGTAACTTAAAAGAACTATCGATGGATTGGAAGACGAGGTTCTCAGATGGAGTGGGCTTGTCCGATCACCGGATATTGACTGATATATATATGTATATATATATTTTTTTTTTTTGGGGGGGGGGGGCATGTCAAAACAGAGACCTATTGCTCTCGTATGCGTAATGCGGTCCAGCCTAATGCAAAATTAATGTCGCAATTAGTGCCATTTCACGTGAAATGTTGCAAAATTCTGTCGAGGCTCCAGCACCCATTTGGAAGCATTTCGAATTCTAGTGACTTTTGAAAATGGGGGAAATGAATTTTCATCATTCATGCACATTCCAGCACAAGTATTTTGTTTTCATAAAAGTTTTTATTCTAAAGAGGATTTTTTAAATTGTTTACTGACTTCCTAGTCAGCAGTGTATGTGTGGCCATAGATCGGCGTAGCTGCGGAAGCTTTGGTATTTCTGTGGCTCTTCAGTGGTTAGACTATGTGTGGCTCAGGAAGGTATTGCACACTTAGCCCACGCTTGGCGGACATGGATGTTTCACACACTAGTGCAATCCGACTGGAGATAAATGAAAACTTCTGCAAATGCTTTGAGGCTTTGATGAGAACCACACGTATCATTTTGATCATGAGATGCATGGCTCAAAAATGACCACGAAGATACAATGAGATGAAGATACAATGCCAAAAGTTGGATTTCGAAGTTTTTGGGAAATATTGTTCACCTCCGTGCCACTCGATGGAGTGTGTGTCTCGCTTTTCGCTCAATACACAAAAGTGCCTTCTCTCTTTCCTTGGAATCGTCCATCGCAGGCGTGTTTAGTACCTCACCATATGTCTCGCCTAATCTCATTATAGGAATCAGTAAACGCGGCACTTCATCATTTATTACCCCCATATTCGAGACAGATTCATGGAGGCCAGACTATGAACAAGCTCATATTCCCTATAAGAATCCTTTACTTTAAGCAAATAATATCATGCTAATGGAGTTCTAGAACAACAACGTGTTCGCGGATATACTACCCCGGTTTCTCATCTCGAGGTCGGAACGAGAAAACTAGGAATTGAACACGTGTATACTCCATGAAACGTCACGGGATGGACATTTCCTTGAAACGTACTATAATCAGTACAATGATTAGGTTGCCGCAGAAAAGCGGACATATATGTAATGGCACATGCATACACCACGTTCGTACCATGCTTGCGCATGTAAATACGCAATCATGGCTCTGCTTGTCGCGGACTTGCCATACACATCTGACTGGGTGGCACAGAGAACGCGGACACGTTACGCCTATGCATATTACACCCATGGGGCATGTTTACCTGTGTGACTCGTGAACCTGGGCCAAGCATAGAATATCTGACCGTGCGGGGATAAACACACTTGGCCCGGGGATAAATTGCTGACTGGGTTATGGCTCACCCTGTACAGGGAATCTGTTTTAGGCAGCCGGGCACGGTCCTACTAGTTTCCCCTAAGAAGCTGAAGGTAAAGACGAGGAATTGCAATTATGGGCAGTGAGGAGACAATTTTCATGGGTTAACTCGTGTCAGTGTTTTTCACTCGAGTTAGACGCTTTCCCACAAGACTCTAGCGTCGGAGTCAAATGTAAAACACCTTAGAGGTCACAAGATGTCAGCTAGCTGATGAGTCTCCACTTGGAATACAGGATTGGAAAACAGGATTATCATACTCCTGATAAAGTTATTGTCAGGGATCCTGGGGCCGAATTAATTGTCTCGCTCGAACATAATGAAAGGGCGGTCTCCTCATTCTTCTTGATGACGTATATCAGATCTACACCCCCTGGGTGCGTGTTGCACGGGATTTCACCTAATGAATCTTGACTCAAGTTCGATGCTATCTTCTGATTCAAAATGGCTCAAAATCACAAAGGAACTATCAAGAAAAAATGTAATAGGAATAATTCTATGAAAATTTTTCTTCTATTTCGCACGTCACGCCTTGATCTAACAGCCATTGAGGAACCTATTCCGAATAGTGTTATTCGATGATGAATTTCTTTTCCGTGGATCGAAGTTGCATTACTGAACAGCTTGACTGCTGCTTATTGGGGAGAAACGTCAGTCTTTGGATGAGTCGCTCTCTCGTCCCAGTGGAATCTCGCCCCCGCATTCCGATTGACAAGAATCACAAGACGTCATAAAATCTTTGACCCGCACACAATTGGGGTGAAAGTGCACAAAGTCGACTTTCCACGCGTGATTTTCATGACTGATAACCATGTCTGCCTCAACCCATAAAGAGGGGAGGCAAGGTAAAGTTTCAGTTCACTTTCCCACCCTATGCAAGATAGAAAGCTGAATACAGAGAATGACTGGGAGTTCATAGAAACTGCAAGGGACGGAAGGAAGCTAGTCTTGAAGGGATACGTTTACACATCTCACTGGAAATGCGAGAGCTGGAGTCGCACGTTGAATCGCGGCTGGAGATGATGGAAATTGGGGGTGTCAGCATAAGGAAAGAAGAGAAATACAGGGTGTTCATAAATTATTGAAGGAGTTTCAAAAATGTTTAACCGTGAAAACGACTCGAAATAAATTGATCGGGTTGGCAGCAAACAGTGGCTTCATCCATGTAGAAATTGCAACCATGGAGAAACCTGGCAGCATCCCATGAGCTTTTCTCGGACTAGGATGAGACTAGAGAATAACGGAGATCCGACATTCTGCTACATAATTTGCCCATAGGCTGAGAATATAATGCCACGAGACTTTTAGACGGTAATACTGGATGGCACAAAAGTAATGGGAGCCTTCACATTTGTATCCTCAGTAAGAATATACGCTGTTATGGCGAGCAAATATTGTGGGCCTACCAGATATATTCTGCTACCTCTGTAGCCTAAGCTCAGGCATTATCTGAAATATGAAAGACATTCTGTCAGACATGAGAAGTGTACAAGATATCATGAGCATATCAAAACATCGCATCCCCTTGCTTTCGAGCCACTCAGAACCTTTTGAGCAGGAAGAGTATCCTTAAAGATGCCACATTTCGTTGAGACTGACAGCATAAAAAGACCACGGGGACCAGGGGAAAGACGCTAGTTTCAGGAAAAACTCGTCATTTTGCATCCGTGTCAGGATCATCGGGTGGGAGACGAATCGATGTCTATGATGTGAAGGCATAGGCCGTCCACTAACTCGATTCCTTTGCCTTTAAAGATGTAAATGGCTCTTTTTTCATTTTTTATTTCTTCTCTCCACTTTCCGAATATCCAGTGCCTCGACCAAATAAGCTATGTTTCGGGACCAACCTTCTCAGCCTATTCCTGGGATTCAGGTACTCAAAGATATGCCATGACTTTCCGGTAGATTTGACTCCAGTAGCAGATACAGGCGACTCAACGGTGGGGGTGGGGGGGGAAGAGGGAATGTGGAATGTCGCTTTTGGCGGAAAATGGACATTCCTGAATAAATTCCTCGAATCGCTTAGCAACAGGGCCGAGGTGACAAGAGGAGAGGAGAGGGGGTGAAGGGCATGCTAAGGGAACCTTAGCGATAATCCCCTCTAATCCTCGGGATCCTTGGGGGCAGAGGATATAAAGTTTACATTCTTTGCCCACTCCCCTCAACCTCAGGAGACTTGATGCGCCAATGATGGCAGATCTTATTCCCAGGACAGTCCAGGCCCTTCTCGGCTAGGAAACCTACGAGTCCTACTAAAGTGAAAAAATGCTGTACCTTTTCCTTTTCCACAAGTATGTTGAATCAGTACTTCCTCAAAAGGCTTTGATTCAATGTAGAATTTGATCGAAGCCATCAATTTTGAATCAATGTTGACTTGTTACGTTACCTCAACATTCTTTCCATTCCTTTCCATTCATTCCATTAGTATTGACATACCTCTTGGAAGTTTGGGTTCGGCGTAATCCCTCTTACGCCGATGTCTCTTATCACCTACTTCTCTGTAAAGGCAGAGACAACCCACGCAGTGAGATATAATGCCCTTAACTGCCAAGTGCGATCCGAGTCTCCACTCACTCTGAGCCCATTGAGTCAGGTACTCAATCGAACCTTCCTGCATCGTCTAGACCATAATCGTTCGGAGTCCCCTGGGCTTCATCTCTTTAGAAGAATGTATTGAGGAATTCTACGAATTTCCCCTCAGTGGCATGTGGGAGAAGATTGTGCACCATAATGAGAAGCACTGAGGACTTCTTTCAGGAGCTTATTGGAGTGACTCGCTAAAGCGGCAATATAGGAGCTAGGGTCGGCCTTAGACATGTGTCACATGTGCAGAGGGGGCAAATTCACCAAGGGCGCCAAAACGTGACTGAATATATGGAGCAATAATGAATGCCACCCTCATTTTTACTAGGACTGTCACGATAGCGGTTTTCAAAACATCGATGCCTCGACCTGAACTATCGATAGTTTATCGATGCATCGGGGGGGGGGGGGGGGGGGGGGGGGGGGGGGGGGGGGGGGGGNTCGCAATGAGTAATGAGACCTACAATGCCTCCAATTATCGAAGATTACATCCATTCATTGATGGATGCATCAGGACACCCCTAATTTTTTCTTATTGCCGTTTAGAATCTGTTGCCAAGCCCGTTCACGTAATTTTTTTTTCTAGTTTTCTTCGTTCTACACGGTCCTCTTTAGACATCAGCACCGGCAGATAGCAAACCTGGCGATGGTGCTAAACCGGCGGTTGCGAAAACATCAGTTCAGCCGATAATAAGCAATGTCCATGTAAAAAAATTCACTTTGAGTTCGCCTTAAGTAAAGAGATAAAATTCCCCAGGGCAAGTTAAAAATTAAAAAAAGTTAAGCTTGTGTACTAAAGAGAAAGACGGGAATATAGAGAGGGGATTAACGCACGTTTCGAAATTAAGGGAGTATATGAACTTTCGCAGCATGAACCTGATGAGATCGAGCCGAAGACTGAAAAAAAAAATTATCGGTCTTCCCTCCCTCTCCTTTCCCATTTCCTGTCTCCGATCCGACATGGTTTTTTTTCCTTCCCGTTTTTCATATAGTCAGTCCCAACATTTCCAGAATTAGATCGTGATAAATTGCAAGCCCATGCGGGTCACGCCGCCTCTTCCTTTGCCCGCCCGGACGGGCTGTATTCACCTCAATCCAAATGGGACATTTCCCCTTATATTTTGCCGATACATTGCGATGGTCGAAAAAACTATCGATACCTCCAATCATCGATAGTGGTATCGATGCATCGATCTATCGTGAAAGCCCTAATTTTTACTTCAGAAAGTGAATGTCTTCCGTTTTGACGTCATTTTGAATGCTAGGGATTGACCCTTCTCCCTTCTGGGGTGGCATTTAGAGTTTCTTTGCACAGGGTACCGAAATACTATGGGTGTTCAAATTAAAAGGGGACTTTTAGTCCCCTACCTTAGGATCAGTGGCGTAGAAAGGGGGGGGTGACTGGTTTTGGTTCAAGACTCTGGTCTAAATGGTACACTAACCCCCCCCCCCCCCCCCGAAGAAGTAATGGAAATTCTAACCCCCCCATCAGCGAAATCCTGGCTACGCTACTGCTTTGGCTACCCATAGGTTACCCATGTTAGGTTGGCCATGAGTAACAGCCATTGTCCCCTTTTCATTTAAACCCCCCTAGCAGTTAGGGCTGGCCCTGTTACCAGAAGCTGGTGCAATAAATTCAAATGACAACGTTTTGTGATGAAGGCAGTGTTGAGAGGCATGACTGAATGGTTCGGTGGTGTAAAGGTAGCACACTTGACCGGCAATCAGGAGACCCGGGTTCAATTCCCGGCCGTCCCCTGGCTTTCTTTCGTCCTCTCTCGTCCATCTAACCTCCCTACCTTCAGTTCTTCTCGTCACAGTTTTATTTTAAATTTAGTCTCAATTTCTTTTCCATTCAAATGAATAATAAAAAATCCTAAAAACCAGATCTGTGAAATAAATTCTCGGCTATTACAAAGTGGAAGGGGGAAAGATATGACACTATTCAGAAGTCGGTACGTTGTCAGGACTCCTGCGGGATTATTTGTGACTCCATAGCGGTTTTTCTTTATTTTTGGCAGGATCCGACTGGAAAAAGCGCCTGAGCGTCTAATCCTGTCAAATGTACCGAAACCCAATTTTCTTCATTAATGTCAGCAAGTAATTGTCCATTTTCTACCTTCCAAATGGCGAGTTATGAGAAGAAACGCTGAAATCCAGATAAAGGATGCGGAATATGATCCTTCCATGAACAAAGTTTGCTGAACCCTGACCTCTCAACACCGAAAATTCATCCTGAATTCCAATATGTAAATGCGTACTGCGATCCGCTTTCCGTTGTGAAAGAAGAGAAATGAGAAAATTGACAAGAGATTTGGCTTGAAAAGGTCAAAGAGTTTGTTGCTGCACTAAACGATGAGGGATTTTGAGGGATATGACCTCAGACACAATCATAGAGTAAAAATCAAGCAGTAGAAACTGATTTCTGTTTCCAAAGGACTAAACTCATCCTTCAAATTTGAAATGCATGGCAAGCACCGCAGTTCCACGTAATCCGTGTTCTCTGCAGTGTCAATTCCATTCATGCAGGCGCGCTGAGTCTATATATGAGCGATTCATCATGGTGGCGATAATGGTGGCATTGTTACAAATATCTCAAGATTATGGATGGATTTTTGAACAGAGCACTATCCGATAATGCAACTTTATTTTCAGGAAATACAGTGTATTTTTCTCGAAATAAAGAGCTGCAAAATCGAATAGTGCTCCACTCTATGACTTTTGCAACCCGCTTTTTCGTCGCCGCAGAATTTTTGGGGCACAGATGGTGTTCAGAAGGCTTAGCGTAAGATATTTTCCGCATTCTGTATCTGTTTTCCAGGATTTCTTCTTATATTTCGTCATATGAAAGACGGAAAATGGATAATCGGCGACAGAAATTCTCTATGAAAATAGAGTTTCCGCACATTCAAGCAGACACTGAAGCGGAAGCGTGCTTTTCAGTCGGATCACTGCCACATGAATGAAAGAGCAGTGAAATGACAAGCATCACGGCGTTTTAGCATATATGTTCACAGATTCTCTCACACTCGGCATAAAGCAGTATGAGCGATATATTCCAATAGCAGGGAAACTAGCACTCTTATACCACATTGAGTTTCAACTTAGACATAGACATGGGAGATTCCGGAAGCGGCTCTACGTTTGCCCAGATGCGGTTCCGCCCAGCTTAAAATCCCGGTTGGAAACAGCTGTAATTTCCAGTTGGACTCCAGCTGTAAATTCAGACCCATTCCAACTGTGTAACAGCTGGAAAATAAATCAGATTGATTCCTAGTTGAAATACCACTGGTGAAATGGGAATGTTTTTGTCGGCTATGCTTGCCGGAGGTCCATCTACAGATGCAGCTGAATTTCAACTAAAAACTGTATTCCAGCTGGAGGCCCGGCAAAAAGTTCCAGCCGGAAATATTTTATTTATTACTGATTTTACTCGCTTGGAGATGAACTTTTCCGGCAGTTGGATTGCCGTGCAGGAAATGTCACCACTTCAATTTGAGGATTAGAAAGTGGACATTTTCCAACCGAAAATGCAGAGATCCAGCTAAATACAACATGAAATTCCTGCTGGATCCTGTTGGTTCATTCCAGCTAGAAACAGCATACAAATTTACAAATAGTCTGGTGCTGCAATTCCTGCAGAAAGTAGCTCACATTTACAGATGGAAAGCTTGTTATTTCTAGCAGGAACTTTTTGCTGGTGGGCAGGACCGGATTAAGAAGTTGCGAGGCCCGGAACAAGTGAATTCTTGGTCCCCCCCCCCCTCTCCACCCCAAACATTTTATCTTGTGGTGCTAGAAGCCTAGAAGAGCCACACAATCGAGCGCTGGTGGTGAAAATTTCGGTTTGTAACATCTGCTACTTTACGCAAATACATTTTTAATTTTCTTCGGGGGCCCCTGGAATAGTGGGGTCCGGGGCAATAACCCCCTTTGTCCCCCCCCCTTAATCCGGCCCTCCTGGGGGGTCCTCTGCATAAAATTCTAACTGGAAATTTTCAGCTGGAAAAAGTTATTTAAAAAAAACCTGCATTCCAGTTTGAAAATTCCAGCTGTAAAAAAAACCTGCAACTACCACTTTCCAGCTATTTTCCAGCTGGAAATGGTCCGAATTTACAGCTTAGATCCAGCTGGGATTTCAAACTGTGGCATCAAGATGGAGAAAGATTGTGCAGATTGACTTGGCACCCTCACCACTTATCTTACTTGATGGAGGCAAGGCTAAGGCGGATTCTCGAGGATTACACCCTCCCTCTGTGCATATCTAGGCTCCATGAAGACGTACTGGTTATTAGACCGGGATGGAAGGAAGAGTCTGGCGGGATCTAATCTCCTCACGGACCAAGTGACGGTATTCCGAACCAGCGTGGAATCGAGGAGAAGCATGTACTCTCCAGTCGGGTTAACTGGTCTAGGAGAAGGAAGCCGCCCGGGCTCCGCTGCTACGTCCACGTCTGGTCCTACATCTTTGCCCGGCCATGGGGTACGGAGACTCACCTCGGCTAGAGCCGGGGGCAGTCCCATCCCCAGCCTCCCTCCCCCACAACCTCGTCCCTCTCCAACCAAATCCCCAGGTGAGACAATTTCTTTCTTTCCTCTTCTTTTCTTTCCCTCTTTCATTCGAGGGTTATCCTTCGGATCCCACATGGAGCCAATCACGAATATCAATCCTACTTCCACTTTCCTTATTTTCATCCATCTCCTTCGCACATATGCCTTACCGCAGAAGAATTTATTGTTCAGTAATTACTAAGTGATGTTCGTGGTTTGCTCCTGTGTTTCAGGGGGTGGCATGTTCAATGTCAATCGTGGTATTGATGATGATGATGATGATATGTGGAGCGTGAGCAACGCGCCCATCATCAATAAAGAAGAGATTGGGATCCAGACGGACTATACCTTCCTCCGAGGCCTGAGTGACGTGGAAGACGAGCGAGATTTCAGCTTCCTTCATTTCCAGTGCTTGATATCGGGACGAACCCCGTCTTGTTCCTAGATCGTTGGGCAACGCGGAGACGGAGTTCTCCCCCCACCCCCACAAACACGTACGTGGTGAAGAGACCCGAGAATTCCCCGGCCAAGAGACCCGAGAATCCCCTCATCGAGAGACCTGAGAATCCCCTGGCCAATAGCCCCGATACCCGGGAGGCAAGCGTACAAGTACAAATGGATTCCTTCGTCCCCAACCTGAATGGTACCCTTCCGCATTACATCCAGTTTCAGGGCAAGGGTGGAGCCTGTCGTCACCAGGCCAGAGAATCCGCCACCCATCACAAGTATCACCAGGTCACGACACCGCACCAGAGCAAGACTTGCCAAATACTCTGAAATTTTCTCCCCGCACCCCTTCACATTCACGTCCCTTGTTGTCGTGATTTTCCTGGCTTGGAAGAGAAGGAGAAAAGTATCATATCTTTTCTACGATTATATGGATCTCGCATGGCTTCCCCGGAAGGATCAAGCGAAAGCCATACCTATCGTTCCAGAGCTATAATTAACCTCTTGACTACACACCGTTTTGAGGGTGCCGTACCTCTGATAAACCAGAAAATGGCGAAAATGTATGCATTTAAAAATTTGTTCTGTTACACACTCTGTTGTATAAGCTTATCGTACAAGTTTTACAGGTTGCTGTGGTATTGTTGGAAGCAGACGCCTGTGTGGAGTTTTACTTGTTCAAAGCAGCTGCAAATATGCAGACGTGATACAGCTGAATTTTGGAGGGCGGGAGTACTTGAAATTTTCATGATGCATACTGGTGCGTCATATGTATCAGAGGCACGGCGAGTTATGACGCATCGAGGTGCGTCATGTGTAGTCAACGGGTTAAGTATCTATCTATCTATATATATATGTATGGCAAAGAGAAGAAAATGCTATATGTTGTCCATGACTGTCAGTGATTCATTTTCCCCCATGTCAGAGGCCAAGTAACGGTCACTCGCTCTTCCAGCCGTAAACCATCATCCACGTTCCCCAGCATTTGGATTTTTTGTGTATCACTCTTTCTCTTTCTCTCTCTCCGGTCTATTTTTGTCTGGAATTTTTCCCCAGCGCAGTTTGGAGTTTATTTATCATTTCCATCTAGTAACTCTCCATAGCGGAGCCTAATCCTCCTTTTTTCCGCCATATATGACGCAATGTCGAGTATAAGCGAAGTCACATGAGGTTAATCCAGAGAGACCGGGTTCGGGCTTGCGAGCGAAACCCGGGAGGTGGGGGATCGAATCTGGGTGACGGTGGGCTCATTGCTCTCTGACATTCGACCCACTTGCTTTCATAGGTTGTATCTGCTTATCGTTGGGGTAACAAATACACCACTCTGTGGGCTACACCTAGGAGGCACGGGTGCAGTATGCCCTGAAAATCACTCGTTTCAGCATGGGCCTAGGCCAAAAGTACGGTGGGTCGCGACCCACTGGACACTGCAACTGTCAATTAGAGAAATAGTATAGTATATTAAGAAATCACTGCCCTAGGAACCCGTGAGCTGCCCCTAGAGACATCCTACAGAACCGTGCTGGGAAGTCCCTGCCGGAGAGATTGTCACACCGGTTGTGTCTGTTTCGAGCAGACTTCCAATGGAGGAGTTCTTTGGAAAAAAGGGTTTTTATGCACAAGGCACAATTCGTGAAAAGCATAAAATATCATCATCATCAGAGTGCAGGCAGTAACTGTTTATGTAAATACGCCACTTTTCCATATCCACACTATTAGAAAATTTCCAGTCATTCTTTCAGTTGTCCTTTTTCATTTAAAAGAATATGAATTTACCTCTGAATTCTTGCATGAGTTGAAGAAAAAAACTTTCCTCGAAGACAAGGAAAATAGGAGCATTTGTAGAAGCATTCATGACAGTCCCTGTCTTCTCCACATAAGCACCACCACTATTCCGTTTTCTTTTCCGTTTTTTTTTTTTATCGCTACAAGCGGTCATAATGCGACAGCTGGACATCAACCGGCCATCTCAATAAAATTAAAATTAAACATGTTTTCTCCCTTATTACGAGCACATCTAATCCACCAAATATCATTCATGTAGCAAGTGTCCTAATGCAGCCCAGGAGCGTATGGGCACTTAGATTCGGCAGTTCTTGGGATGGTGATAGAATGAAATAAGAGAAAGCGAGAGAGTCGACAACGATAATGACGAAGGAAATAGGATATCCTCCCTCTCTCACTGGGAACGTGTATATGTACAGAACTCTTCTTTCCATTCTTATGATAACTGACTCGTGACAGCAATCGCCTTAATGAGGAAGGGAATCTCAATCACAAGAGCCTTCATGAAAGGAATCCGAGATGAAGGCAGAAGGCAGCTCAAAGAGTGCGTCAAAGAATATACGAAAAAACGCCCACTGAAGAAATGCCCACGGAAATAATGCCCACAGACAAAACGCCCACAAGAAATGAGTTTGAGACAACTTATCTAAACAAATTATGTTTGCTTTTCTGTAAGCACTCGTATCTGAAATTAACTGCCTAAAATATCAGTTACTGGCAACTGAACAATTCAACTTAGTCAGGGCCGGATAAAGATTTCTGGCCCCCCTAGGCAGAAACCCCCC